GTGCGGTCAGCAACATTAGCACCTCATTGGTTATGGCGCTACGTGGTGCCGCTGCTTTGCGTGTTAACTTTTGTTAACCCTCTCAGTCTTTCTTTCTTTCAGTCTCTCTCTCTCGCTCTCTCTCTCTCTTCCGTCTCCGTCTCTGTCTCTCTCCATTCTCGGCGTGTGGCATGCCAGGGGGTGAGCTCGAGGTGGCGTGGCCGGCTCGGCCGCATCCTGTAAGAAAGGTCAGGTGAAGATAAAGGAAGATTGCATGGATCGAGATGGACGACAAGAAGAAGAAGTAGAAGAAGAGGAAGGGTAGCCGTGCGGGGGATGCGGGGGTTTGCCGACGCACCAGCACTGACGATGCAGCTGATACGAAGTGACTAGTTTAGGAACACTGCTACAAGCTGGTTGTCTCGCGGTACATGGGGAAAGGGTTCACCAAACTGAACAACTATTTGTGAAAGACTTTTTACAATCGTCCATGAGTGAGTGACCTGCAAGCCGCTGAGCTGTAGGTGCTAGCCCCGCCGCTCGCCGTCCAAGATACTAGAGATGACACCTCCAAAATTTAAACACATTGCGGTACCCAACCCCTCCCCTCATGTCCCCCATTACTCTTCAAGGGAAAACCCGCGTGGAAACGTATGGTATCAGTTTGTCAGCAGTTTGTCATCTCGCCAATGACAAACGGATGACAAACTGATGACAATCCGATGATGAAATTTGATGACATACTGATGACAAACTGATGACAAACTGATGACAAACTGATGTCAAACGCAAATCGGCGTTCCGTCATCAATATGTCATCAGTATGTCACCAATATATCAACCGTTTGTCTTCGTAGGATTACAAACGGCTTACAAACGGATGACAACCCGCTCACATACTGGCCGCTTCCGACGCTGGAGAATGCTGCGACCGAAAATGCTGGACACGAAATGTCCTAGTCTATAAGAGCCCATACAATGTTGAAGGTGTGCTGTGGACTGATTATTAGGGCGTCGAAGGTTGCGGCATGTGTCCCCCGCGTAAACTTTTCGCTCTGAGAACGATGGTGGTGTTAAATTTCCTCTAGCTATAGCCGTTCAAAAGTTACTTTTCGGATTTTTTTTGGTTTCAAAATTCAACAGAGTATATTATCCTGATACATCTCACTAACCCGTTTCGCTCTACGGCGCTTAGTTTAGGCTTGAAAGGGAATTGCGGTATTTCGTACGGTGAGGCTGGAGCCAGTATGTCAGCGATTTGTCCTCCGTTTGTAATCCGTCGACGACAAACGGTTGATAAACAGATGCCATACTGATGACATATTGATGACGGAACGCCGATTTGCGTTTGACATCAGTTTGTCATCAGTTTGTTATCAGTTTGTTATCAGTATGTCATCAAATTTCATCATCGGATTATCATCAGTTTCTCATCCGTTTGACATCCTTTTGTCATCGGCGAGATGACAAACTGTAGACAAACTGATACCATACGTTTCCATGCGGGGCAGGTGAGGCGACGGAACTACTTTGAGTCGTTCAAACGCAGCTGTCTGAATGCGCTAGCTAATCGCCCATTGCAGTGTCTATTCAGATTTACTTAAGTAATGTTCCGGGCGAAATCAAGGCGCTGTGGCTCCAATAGAACCAGAGTTAGAGCCGATTTACATAAAAATTTGGGTCACGGAGCGGCGGAAAGGGGGCTATTCTAGCTCCCCGGGCCTGGGGCCGCGCAGCAAGCCAGCAGTAGGGCATGTTTTGG